GTAATCAGGTTGTTAGTTTTTAACTGTTGCAAATCGGCAACGCCTGCCTCGAGAGGGTTAATCAGTTGAATAATAGTGATAAATAACACGAGCTCATTGCAGTACCATTTGCATTTACTGCCATCTACTACATACTACCCGTCTGAGCCAGGAAAAGCCTGAAAAGATACAAATGTGTGCCCAGCACTGTGTGTACTGCACATTTAAACACCTTGAACAACAGATTTTTGGTCAGTCAACACTTAAAAGTTGTAGTCATAAACTACCACAGTGTGTATTACTGCAGCGAAACATAGCAGACATAGTTCTGAGCATCTACGATTTCCTTCCAAAAATATTAAAAATATTAAAAAAATATATTAAAAAATTAAAAATATAAATATTTTATATTAATATTAATTAATATTAATATTTTTAATATTAAAAATATTTTAAAAAGTTCTACATTTCCAATAAGCAAGCAGATGCTCAGTCAGCAATAAACCCCCTCTGTTTTTAAGCTGGTGGTCAGAGGAGGCTGTGCGTTTGTGAGGGAGGCAGGAAGAGTTAAGCTGGCAGATGGCATTGCGTTGTACCACCAGCAGCTCCACCAACAGTGAAAAAAAAAACAAAACAAAACCCCAGAGATGACGTCAACGTCACATATGGGTGCCAAGGTTGGTTACGAAATTAAGCAATTCACTGTTGAACTATGGGGACAGTTACACCACCAGCTGAGATGTGGATCGGGAGGACGGAAAAAAAGAGGCTCGGGTCCTGCCTGCGGCTGGAGCGTAAGGCTCCATCTTCTTATTGTACTCTGGAACAAAAGAATTGCTGTTCATGGCTGTAAGACAGTCTTCAAGGTAATGCTGCATAAATATGAGGTCAGGTTTGTTTTCATTAAGGTATACTGAGACCATTCGTCGCTGTATGTAAATGAGCCCATATATGGCAGCGTGCTTGTTGTGGATCTGTATGCATTACTTACTCTTTGTGCTGGAAGTGGAAATTCAATAAACCACCTGATGTCTCGCTACTCTCTTCACCCGTGTGCAGATGTGCACATATGCAGCTCCACGTTTTTGTCTGTGCTGCCACACAGAGGACACTCAAACTGTGAATGTCATGCATCTGTCCTGATGCATGCTCAATCACTCAGGTAAGGAAATCCCAAAAGTTGATTCTGTTCATCTGGACGTAGCATTTTCAGAGGGAGAAACGTTTCATTGCTCATCCAAGTGACTCTTCAGTCTCCGCTGACTGCAGGTTTCAACCTAATAAACGGTACATTTGCATAATGAGTGAAACTAGGCCTCCTTGACTCCGCGCTCAAACCAGCGTTCCTCCCTGTCCAGGATGTAACATCCCCATCATCGAAAGAGTGTCCACTGGCCTGTAGGTGTAAATAGACTGCAGAGTCCTGGCCTGACGAGGTAGCTCTTCTGTGTTGTGCCATCAGCTTAGCCAGAGGTTGTTTGGTTTCCCTGATGTATAAATCACAGCAATCCTCCTGGCACTTAACAGCTTTCACTATATTGCTCTTTTTGTGTTAGGGGACCCGATACTTTTGGTGGACCAATTTTGGTGCACCGCGTTTTTGGGTTTGAAAGCCACAGAGACTGTGTTTAGAGAAAATGCGTCTCAGCTGTTCCGATACTCCTGACTAGGGATGGGTACCGGTATCCGGTGCCATGATGGCACCGGTTCTGACATAAACGGTAGTAACCAGACCGAAAAGCAGCGCACATTTCGGTGCTTTATTTCGGTGCTTTTTTTTT